CCCCCGCACCTTCCGAGCGCCCTTGCTTAACAGATATTCACATATTATAACTAGACAATAGATATAACATGTAAACTTACATGAAAATAAACAACGAATTAATAATAAGAGTCAAAATGTTACCTTGAATACTGTCAGGATATGAAGAGGGATTTTAAGGCTTAAGAGCGACTGTCTACAAAAATCAAACAAAATGAGAAATATGTGGCAAGGCTCAAAATTTTAAATTCGCTCTACTTTTGAATATAAGTTGACTATGGTGAAGTGAGAAACGTTATGTGGTTAGTTTTTAAAAATACTCTTTTGTTTATGAAAAAAGGCAAAAAAATGTTTCAGCTGTGAGGACCGATTTTCGCAATCGAAAATGGCCGAAATTGCGTATGTTTACTTAATCCTGGTATCCAAACCCTAAATCCAAATAGCCTTATTATACTTTCTGTTAAAGCTACATCACTCCCTCGTTTATTAATAGTGGTTTTATGATAATTGAACAACTGAACACATTTGTGCACAATAAAGAGCGACGGGTACTGATCTTTATTGTTTGTCATTGCATGTAAAAAGTGGCAGATTTCTCCATTTGCCATCCTTTCAAATCTTATGGGATTTTGCACAAGCACTATTGGGAAACTGCCCTTTTCAGAAATGTATTATTTATTTTGGGCAAATAAATTCACACGCTTTGAGAAAGAGTTAACTTTGGTTCATTAAATATGCAAAATCACTGTTTCGCGATTGCGTGACAAAACACCCCTTGCAATCTGAAACTCACTTAAAACATCATTGTTCTTCACCTTTAGTTTAGAGAATTTGAAGAAAACATAAATATACATACCTTGAATGCAAAAAGTTCCTTTGAGCTGTTCCACTTTTGGAGTTAGCCCTAACTTAACTACATATTAACCTCAAAGTTCAAGGAGTCCAGCTAACAGAAATCAGCTAACAATGTGACGGATATTAATTAATCATGATAACAATAGCATAGCGGCGTGCGGATCGCATTTTTTCGACAATAATCCACATAAAAACAATATTAAAAATACAAGTAATGCATCACAGTGGCATTACTTTCGCCAAATCGACAGGAAGCCCGCCACCTAAAATGTAAACATTTGGTGACAAATAGCTTTTTCAATATGTCAGTATAAAAATAAAATAGAATTTCTGTAATATTAACTTTGACTGTTTGTTTCTAAGAACATTAATAATTGTAAATAAAAGTAAATTACAGCAATAAAAAAACCTCAATTCGCAATAATCCACTTAGGGAAAGTACATTTATTATGCCGAGGGGGGGATGAAGATGTTAAGGGGGGGCTCCGAAATATTTTCTGGCATTAAAGGGGGGGCTCTGAAAGTTCTTGATATACTGAAGGGGGGGGCTCTAAACTTTTCAAAGGTTTGACCCCAGCAAATTAAAGTTAAAATTCATCAGTTTCAGGTAAAATTTGCGTAATAAAGTAATTATTTTTGTGAAATGATAACCATTTTTGTAAAATACAGTCAATTTACATGCAATTTGTTTGCGAAATTTGCTTTAGAAAACGCCAGAAATTCAGTCCTAGAGCTTCGAAAATGTAAAAATTTTCTGACCCCCCTTTTCTCCCAAAACTTAGTATAAGAGTGCCAATCAATCACAAAAAGCTTTATTATAATTATTACACGTATAATCCTCTGACATCCCCCCCCCACCCCAAACGTCAGATGCTTTGCTACGTCCCTGCTACGTCAGATGCTTTACTACGTCCAAGATATCCTTAGTCTGCTCTTCTAAATGGATACATGAAATCACCTATAGCTTATTTTAATTTTTTTTGCGCCAGGTTTGTGAAGTAATTTACGCGCCAAAAAGCAAAAAAGCATATACAATTTGTAAGAATGATATGTTCTATGTTTATGGGATATTTTGTACAAACGGGATGGAAATTAAAGAAATTGAAGCATACTGGCACTTTTGCATGCATTTTTGACAGGCATGCAAAGACATTTGCAACAGATGCCGGGAGATACGTTGGGTGGGGGCAACATACTGTAAGGTTCCAGCACATTACCCTGATCCAGGAAATCCTGGCCACTACATGAATGTGTTCAAGACTCCGAATGCGCTCAATGATGGGCAACAACGACTTGTTGATAATTCCACCCCTAGAGCCAATTTAAAATGTTTTAAAGACGGTGCCATTTCATCTGGCGCTAGTGAGATGAAAGAAGCAGCAGATCGGTAGTTTTGTTAAGAAGAAGAACTGAGTAGCACTTGAGTATATCAGACATCTTGAGGAACTGCAAATTGTATCTATGATAAGAGAGAATTCCGGATTGTACTCCTTCGATTCCGAATTCTAGGGAGGAGGGGGGGGGCATTGAAAATTTTAAAAACTTCGAGGGGGGGGGCATCGAAATTTACCGATAACCTCAACAGGGGCCCTGTAAAAATATGAGCTTTTTTCAAGACATCTTCATCCCCCTCCCTCGGTGTAATAAATGTACTTTCCCTTAATAGAAAAAAAATATTAAAAAAGAAATGACAACATTACAGTAATACATCGCAGTGGCATTACTTCCGCCAAATCGACAGGAAGCCCGCCACCTATAATGTAAACATTTAGCTTTTTCGATATGTCAGTATAAAAATAAAATAGAATTTCTGCATCATTAATTTTGACTCTTTGTTTCTAAGAATATTAATAATTGTAAATGGAACACGAATGGAAGTTGTGTGAATTGTTAGCTGATTTCTGATAGATTGGATTCCAAGAACTTTTAGTCGATGTATAAGGCGGAGATGTAAACAACCGAACGGTCGACAATATTAAATTCCTGGTATAAACTCCAAAAGTGGAACAGCTCAAAGAAAATTTTTTCATTCAAGGTATGTATATTTATGTTTTCTTCAAATTCTCTAAACTAAAGGCGAAGAACAATGATGTTTTAAGCGAGTTTATTTCAAGGGGTTTTTAGTCATGCAATCGGACCATTCGCGTAATAGACTAAATTTTTATCTAAACAAAAATTTCATCACAGCTTGAAAGAGCATCACAAAATTAGTAATATTCCAAAATTTCGTTGCGAAATGTTGTAAGATGCGGATAATATAGCCCTGCGAAGTTTGCAATTTTCAGTCATTTTAGATTACAAACGGGAAATTGACAGCCTGTCAATTTCCCGTTTGTAATCTAAAATGACTGAAAATTACAAATTTCGCAAGGCTATATTATCCGCATTTTACAACATTTCGCCACGAAATTTTGGAATATTACTAAGTTTGTGATGCTCTTTCAAGCTGTGATGAAATTTTTGTCTAGACTTGTTGAGATCAAAATTTAGTCTATTACGCAAATGGTCAATTGCCAAACAGTGATTTTTGCATATTTAATGAACCAAAGTTAACTCTTTCTCGTAGCGCGTGAATTTATTTGCCCAAAATAAATTATACATTTCTGAAAAGAGCAGTTTTCCAATAGTGCTTGTGCAAAATCTCATAAGATTTGAAAGGATGGCAAATGGAGAAATCTGTCACTTTTTACACGCAATGACAAACAATAAAGATCAGTACCCGTCGCTCTTTATTGTGCACAAATGTGTTCAGTTGTTCAATTATCATAAAACCACTTTTAATAAACGAGGGAGTGATGTATCTTTAGCAGAAAGTATAATAAGGCTATTTGGATTTACGGTTTAGATACCAGGATTAAGTAAACATACGCAATTTCGGCCATTTTTCGATTGCGAAAATCGGTCCTCACAGCTGAAATATTTTTTTGCCTTTTTTTCATAAACAAAAGAGTATTTTTAAAAACTAACCATATGACGTTTCATACTTTGTCATAGGTAACTTAAATTCAAAAGTAGAGCGAATTTAAAATTTTGAGCCTTGCCGCGGTATGTTTGATTTTTGTAGAGACTCGCTCTTAAGGATTCCACATTTCCAAGAAAATGTGCAAAATTCCGCAAACTTAGCATTGAAAATAATACTTGAAATTTTGTACAGGTCAAGAAAATCTACTGAAATTTTGTTGGCATCTCACTCGATTGAATAATAGTTGAAGGGTATTGTAGATGGAAATTATCGAGTGGAAATTTATATACATTTATTGGACCTACAACCAGGAACAGCCGCGAAAAATGCAACTACAGGTCCCTGGCAGGAAACGAAACCGCACTCAATAATTTCCATGTACAACACCGTGAGATGCCAACAAACCTATATTTATATTTTCTCAATAAACAGCTAACCGGGGAACTCGCCTGAGTGAGACCTGCATGCCCTTTGTTATTATAGCGTATATAAAATTCAATTTGTGGTCATGTGAGAAACGAGCCAGGGTTGAAAAATACAAACAAAATATAACCCTAACAAACCTAAACGGACACTATTAAAGTCGTAATACAAGGTGCAGTCGTAAACAATATATCGAATCGAAGACGCCCTGTTCACATAATGTCACAGAATAAAGATATTATAATACGGAAGGGCCACTTATGTCGGAAGCTTTAAAGTTCTGCCCTCGCGCATGTCGCATTACGCATGTTGGCCGCCCTTTTCCTAGCCAGTCAATGACATTTTCTGGCCAATAAACACGCTTTTCTTGCTGCCTGTTCCGCCTTATGGCCAGTAAACTGCATATTTTTGCATAAAAAAAGAGAACACGTTGCACGGCTGAGTGGCCCATAGGCTTCTACAGATTATGCTCGGCAACTTTTTGCATTTGAAGCAACTTTTTATGATATCAGCAACTTCAAGCAACTTCCTCCAGGAAATGCATAATTTTTGGAAATTTCTGGCAATATAGACCTTGTTGCTAATTTTATTTTTGGAAAGATAATGAAATGCTTGATAGCCTTCATCCATATTCTCTTCAAGCTCTTTTTCTTGGTCATATGAAAGAATGCACGACAAGGCCCCAAAATATTTTCCTTATCCTTGGCCGTTTGACAAACTTCTTAGCTTACCATTACCGTTCTACAGTTTGGGAGATCCTATGGCAGTCCGCAGCTTGACATATTTGCAAACATCCATAACAGCCCCCATAAGTTTACTGCAAGTTACATTAATACTTAGATATAATAATAGTCAGAGGAAGTAAACGTACTGTGAAACATCTCAAACTGATTTGGTAGCTTTTTAGCTTTTAAGGTGTTATAAGACTTTATAGTTTTGAACTATAGTTATAGTTATGAACTGTTATTATTGTATTTATCTACAGTGTTTAATATACGATCATATCTTGCTTTGCACTCGTTACGAGAAACTTTTGACATTTTAGGAGCAACTCTTTTACAATTTTCGAGCAACTTTTGAGCAACTTATTCAATTTTCGAGCAACTTTTGAGCATTTTTAAAGCACAATTTCAGCATTTTCGTAGCATAATCTGTAGAAGCCTAGTTGCCCTTCTGTTACTGATTTTTATTCTGTGATAATGTCATTCCACCGAGACGGGATATTAGGCAGGAGCAGCGCCAGAGAGGGGGGAGGGGTGGGGAGGGGGGTTGGGGGGATGAACACAGAAATACTTCATCCCACTCAGGTGAGTTTGGCCAGGCTCATATAAACAGACCCTCACTCCAGTTTCATTTCAGTCAAGTGCGGGTGTTCCGGAGTCATCACAGCTAAGGCATTTGTACCCCATGGAGGGAAAACCTTAATTTACTGGGAAAAACCAAGTCTTAAATGTTCCACTCGCCGCCGAGAGGGACCGGTAAAAAGACTCTTGGGCAACGGGCCGACAGATCCGATAATCACAAGCGAAGACGTTCAACCACCCTGCGTCAGCTCTCCTTCAGAATTTGGTGTTGGAAGCGCCATACTGTCACATATACGTACAGTTATCGGAGTGGTGAAACCGATGTGGTGAACCTACAATGCCCAATCGAAATTGATACCACAGGTATGTATAGAGAAGCGCGGGGCTCGAATACGATTTTTGTGTACCACGTAAAAATCTCACAACTTTGGTATGTAGCAAGCTTGTCTACAAGTTGTAACAATACTGTTATTTTATTAGGTTGCTACATATAACGGTTGTCACACAACTTGTCGACAACTTGTTGAACTACAGGACGATAACAAGTCGTTAACAACTTGTCAACAAGCTAGGAACAAGCAGTGCGAACACATCCTGTTGACAGGTTGTTGGAACAGCATTGCTACAATGCAAGTCTGTTACAACTTGTGCGTTTTTACGTGTGTAATGCAGTTTTAAGTTCAAGAGAGAGCTTTTTGCCGATTACTACTTTGGAAGGGGGAGGGGGGGGGGG